CCATTTCTCGATTTATGCGTGTCATCCTTGCGCAGGGGCCATGCTAATCTACCCTTCTCTGTATCGTTCCAATTTTAACGGATGTCCCGAAGGACAGAACCATGCTAATCTTCATTCTCTGTATCGTTGCAATTTAACATTAACAGATGTCGTGAACGACACTCTGACCTTCTGGAAATCATCTCTGGACGTGATTCCGACCAGATGCACCCAAGGGAAGCTGTAGTTGCAGTCTGGTACATCCAGAATGGTCTCTAGTGTGAATACTCTCTAGGCTGTCTGTTCAATGACTCTGATCCGATTGCCATTGCAGGAAAACTTTCCGTCACTGTGTGTAGCTAAACAATTTTCTCTCCCCCTTTTTGCCCACACTGCTTCTATCAGCAAGCAGCCTTATCAGCTGCGGCTGAATCTAGCCGTTATTGCTCTAAGATACATGCTGTAGAGTCCCAGTCACCCTGCTTCGATCAGCAAGCAGCCTTATCAGCTGCGGCTGAATCTAGCCGTTATTGCTCTAAGATACATCCTGTAAAGTCCCAGTGTGAGTATGCTCTGATACGACTTATGTCGGTCGCACTTTCCATCAGACGAAACTCGTGCCCCATAACACAGCAGCATTGGAGTTTTTCTATTTATAATCACTTTTCACCTAAAAAGTTAAGGCAGCTTGTCCTTTGGGACATCATAGCCGTTATAATTGGAAGGGTACAGAAAAGATTAGGGCCTCGTTCGACACCACTAGAACTCAAGGCTCGACGGATAATTCTTCTAGCGCCTCGTTCGACACCACTAGAACTCAAGGGTCGGCAGAAAATTCTTCGTTCCACCCCTCCACCTCCCTAATAGCCTCGTTCGACACCACTAGAACTCAAGGGTATTCACTTTCCTGCTCTCAAGTGTGAATACTAGAAATCCAAGTGCCGCTGGGGCAAAATCACACTTGAACTCAAGGTACCCCCCGAGGTACGTTGAGTTCAAGTGCCAGTGGATACCGCCAGCACTCCAAGTGGGGCTTTGTTTTTTGTTTGGCTTTTTTTTTTTTTTTTTTTTTTTTTTNTTTTTTTTTCCAGCAGGCGATCCTGGTCTAGGATTGGTCAGCAAGCCGTGGAGTTCGGTTTCAAGTGCAGCCTGTTCAAGGATTTCCTCAAGTGTACATGGAACCATACATGGAGTTAGTGTAAATTAATCACTCACAATTTCTCATTTAGTGTGCACTTGAAACTCGAAGTACTTTCAAGTGGTGTGGAACGAGGCTCTTAGCCTGGCCTTTGCACAAGGATGACATGCATAAATTGAGAAATGGTAAAAAAAAAAAAAAAAAAAAAAAAAAAAAAAAAAGGAACTCAACTTAGTTACCAACTTACCGCAACGAAATTGCTTTAGGAAGCTCTCTCCTTTCAAGCACAGATATCAGCAATCAAGACCGGTTTGATTGGCAAGCCCCTCGCTAAGGAGACAATGTATGATTGCTGATTGCTGATCAGACAATGTATGTATCCGGTTTGATTGGCAAGCCCCTCGCCTCCAGTCTCAGAAAAACCAATACTTCCCCCCCCCAAAAAAAAAGAAAAGAAAAAAAAAAAACGATACTGGTTCTCTCAGACCTGGCTCAGGAACAATGGCACCTCCATCTCCCCAGAGGGAAAACTGTTCTTTGCGGGACTGGTTATTAGATGACAAAAAAGGCCAGATCCCACTGGCAAAGAGGCTTGGAATAAGGGCTTCGTTAGACACTCCTGGGGGACGTGATTCCAAGGATTTCGTCTTCGGTCCACCTGTCCTCGGAGATGAAATCAGAAATGAAAATGTGAAAACACTCCCGAGGACAAGTCCTTGGGCTCTGAGGGTTTCCCAGCCAAATCATCAGAAATGAAAATGTGAAAACACTCCGAGGACAAATCCTTGGGCTCCGAGGATTTCCCAGCCAAATCATCAGAAATGAAAATGTGAAAACACTCTGGGGACAAATCCTTGGGCTTTGCGGACTGGTTATTAGATGACAAAAAGGGCCAGATCCCACTGACAAAGAGGATTGTTAGACACGCCTCGGGGAAATGATTCCAAGGATTTCGTCTTTGTTCCACCTGCCCTCGGAGATGAAATCAGAAATGAAAATGTGAAAACACTCCCGAGGACAAATCCTTGGGCTCCAAGGATTTCCCAGCCAAATCATAAGAAATGAAAATGTGAAAACACTCTTGGGACAAATCCTTGGGCTCCGAGGATTTCCCAGCCAAATTATCAATTATGGGAAATGAAAATGTGAAAACACTCCGAGGACAAATCCTTGAGCTCTGAGGATTTCCCAGCCAAATCGTCCTCGGCTCCAAAGGACCTCGCGTGGGGCTTGGGGCCCGAGGATCCGTGTTTCATGGAGAGGAGAGGACATGCACGTAGAGAGGCGTTACAGCCGAGAAATCGGATCGTGGTGGCACCCTATTGGTTGAACACCTGAAGCATAACTTTTTTTTTTTATTCCTTTTTTTCTGACATTGGTCCGAGGATGAGTGGAACGAAGACGAGGATGCCCTGAGGAGTGTCTAAAGATGCCCTAAGTGTGTGAATCTGGACGTGTTTGTGGAGAGGTGCAAAAAACTGTGATTGATCTGCTTTTCTGCATATCTGTGTGGAACATGTCCAGATTCAGACGGTTATTCCAATCCTCTTTGCCAGTGGGATCTGGCCCAAAGACTGACAGAGCTGCCTCTTGAATATCTTCTTCTCTCATTCTTGTTCCTCTTTCATCATAGGCCGCTGGATCGGCCGCCTGATAATACCTTTTCAACCTTTGGCTTCGAGAAGGGGTGACTTTATTAGAACTGGTTATGTATAGAGATATCGCATTATACAGAATGGAATGCCCTTAATCACAAATTAGGCTTTAATCTGGATTTCTGATGTAGGTAGATCTCTTAAAAAGTGAATCTTGCTTTGTGCTACACTTCTAGGTAGGGACAGGGTTTGCTATCGTTGGGGCCAGGCGGGGAAGGCGAGTTATTGGGTTTTTCCTTTTCAGATTTCGGGTCCATTGGAGTCCTGTGAAAAGCGAAACTGGGTAAGGCTCCCAGATAGTTGGCTACCCCGGGTAGACTGTGAGGACCCCGGCCTCAAACCTTTTTCATGTTAATATAAGCCTTGGGCACTGGGAAATAATAATAATTAAAAAAAAAAACCCTTAGGCATAGCGATAAAACTGCAGCCTCTCACCCATTGCCTTTACCCCCGAAAAATTGTCAGAGGCGCCACTTCTCCGTGGATCTGTTCCCTTTTACCCCGGAAAAGCGATAAAAATTGGCAGAGGCCGCGGGATTACCTTAAGCGCATAGCAAAAGCAAGACGTGCCCAAAAAAAAGAAAAAAAACTAAGAAAAGAAAAAAGAAAAGAAAAGAATCAATACATGCTCTTTACCGGTGCCCTGCTTTTTTTTTTCTGTTCTCGTTTTACTTCCCCCCCTCCCCCAAAACAGAAAGGCGGAGGCCACCACAGGCCTTTCAGACCAAATGAAATTCATCTGTGGCTGTCAAATTATCTTTTCTGTGGAGTTGTGCTTAGTGAATGCAAAAGACGCACATGCATCCACACTCACACACAACATTTTGGAACTGCCAGCCCATGTGGCTCAATCAGACCACCCATATAAATCATATAATTTTGGAACCGCCAGCCCATGTGGCTCAAATGCTAATGAGAAAACAACAATTGTCAACTACAAGGGGCCCGGTCAGTCCGAAGAACTGATACGTATAAGTCTTGTATTTACCTTGTTTTGTACTAAATCCTCACCAATTTATGAGGGAAAATTTGTCTGGCGCCCCTGTAATTTCCATTATTTTGCGTCGCACTGTTGAGTGCATCGGTCCCCGGAGGGGGACCCTCCCGGCCGTGTGGCGGAGAGCGGTTGCTGCTCCGGCCGAGTGCACCTGCCGTGATAGCTCCCGCGGGTGGAGGTAAGTTGTGCCTCGCGTGGCCCTATCCTTTGTCGCGGAGAGGGTTTGCCTGCTCCGGTGGAGGTAAGTTGTGCGTCGTGTGGCCCTATCCTGTCGTAGGGGCTTGCGAGAGGTACGGCTGGCACACTTGGCCGGAGCGGCAAACACTCTCCACGACAAGTCCTGCAAAATCCTGCGGGATGTGGCCGGGAGGGTCTCTCTGCGGGGACCGATGCACTTGACAGGGCCCCTCGGATGGACCTCTTACCCTGTTGTGCCCTTGGGGCCTCTGAACTTTCCTGCATGCCCCTGTCAGCAAGGGGCTTTCCGTCAGGCCCTTGTATGGAGGTGTGTGTGTGTGTGTGTGTGTGTGTGTGTGTGTGTGTGAGAGAGAGAGAGAGAGAGAGAGAGAGAGAGAGAGAGAGATGAAGTGGCTGCCATGCGCGTAGCCGTACAGGTGTGCTGAAAATTTGCACCCTACCGGTAGGCGCATATGATTTGTTTTTGTGCTGGTACTCAACAGCTATCCGGTAGGGGCATACTGCAAATTTGGAACGGGTACCGGTAGGGGCATAACAAAAATATTTGAGGCCCAACTGACACCGGGGTTTTATGGGAAATGTGAATCGTGGTCAGAGGGGCGCGACAGGGTAAATCGGCCGTGGGAGGTGTGCGATGCAAAATAATGGATATTACAGGGACGCCTGGCAAATTTTCCCAATTTATTCATGTTTTTTATTTTTATTTTGTTATCCAATTTAACAGCTTATGATGGTTATCCTTTTGACTCGTTGGTTCACATTCATGAGTGTGTTCTGTCTGCCTAACAGTTTTGGGTAAATTGTACCCTGTCTGAATCCATTCATCATCATCATCGCGTTTATCAATTTTATTTGCGTGCAGGGCTTCCGGTCATTCCCATGGTTTGCGGTGATTCTCCATTTGAAGGAGGATCTTGGCCTCGACTCGGTCGCATCTCAGGTGTTAATCTCCTCTGTGTTTTTGCCAATCAATTTGAAGCCTATCTATGGGTGAGTAACAGAATCCGGGGGCCAGGTCACACGATCAAACAGGATAGGATTGGATTGGATGAAGCTCCAGAATCTGGACGTGTTTGCAGCAGAGATGCAGAAAAGCAGTTCTTAGATTTCCTGCACCTTTCCAAAAACACGTCCAGATTCAGGCATTAAATCCAATCCCCTTTGCTTGTGGGCCCTCTTTCCAGGGCACCTCTTTCAATCTCCATTTTCTGCAGCTGTTCAATCACCTCTTTCTTCGTTTCTGTCATTTACCATTCTCCCTTCCACTGTTTGTGTTTTTCTCAAAGTCGGCGATCTTGTCTTGATTGATTTTCGTACTCCATTGCCCGGTGAGTGTGGAGCCTCCGGTCCTACTCCCAGTAGGACCTTTTTGTTTCTGGCCACAATTGCGCCCAAGTTCAGTTGAAAAGCTCATGGTGTGCATGTGCACCCAACAACCTTCTAGAAGACTTTCTACGGTGCACCTGTGCAGTGGGTACTCAAGACCTGGTCTGAGTGCCTGGTCATAATCCGTATCGTGGTCCGTCTAATCAGCCCCAGCAGGTCAAGTTCAAATCCTTTATAGGTAGGTATTAAACCACCAGTACCTACTGCATTTTTTGTACCCCCCGGGGCCCCCCCCCCCCGGACCCGACCGGCAGACCGATTTCTGGCTACTGGG